TTCTTTTCAAAGGAAACCACAGTGGGACCACTATAAATCACACATTGACTTTGGCAAACTGAAACCCAGGATTTCTATAATTGCATAATTATATTCCTTTGAGCACACTTGTGTTTATTTTTTATATGAGGATGTCTTGCTAATTATATTTTCATGTGTCTTAAGTAATTCTTTCTTTTCCAGAATAAAGGCCTAAAATTTGTTGCCAGAAATTTGAATTCTACCCCCCATGTGATGAAAGATGTTTATGCTTTGCTTAGTAAGTTTGAATCATTTTGCACATTTCTCTTTGCAAATTTCAAAGTGAAAATGATTAAATAACTTATTTTTTTTTATTATTTAGTACTTAGAATATAAAAAAAAACAAAATTAAAAATTTTGTAAATATCTCTTCATATTAAAAGAATAAGTATTTATTCTGAAAATTTCAAAATTCCAATGAGTACAACACAGTTGTCAAGAATATTTTTATGCTGCCTCACATTGTTGACGTGTTATTATTTCAGCTGAGCACTTGATGACACAGTTCCAGTCCAGAAACAGTCCTGTGCCTAAAATAAAACATGGCTTGGACTGCAGGAAGCAGGAAAATATTGCTCTCCTCAAAGCAGTAAGTTCAGCTTGTGTCCATTATTATTATATTTAGAAGAATCTGTGCTGATGACATGTTACCCATATATTTTACATACACTGTTTCCAGTATTTATGCCACTTGTCATATTACAGTAGAAATACTGTTGTAATCCTCAACTGTTAACCTGAATGGTTATCATAAGTACATAAACATTGGAAGTCTACTAACTGCTGAAAATGTTGCCTGCATACACTTACATTCAATATGTCGTGCCAATGACATATTGCGCCAGTAGCAGGCAATCACAGTAATTGTCAGTTGTTTTAGGAAGCCTGCATTGAAGTGTGTGCAGACTTTTAAAGGCCAGCTGTTACACTTCCAGATATCTTTCTGACTGCAAGAAATTGTGGTCACTGTAAAAAATGTGAATGCCCAAAGACTTAAATCTCTATTTACTGTGTGGAGGTTTTTAAAAATGCTTTCTTGCCACCATTTATAAAAATACACAGTGATTGGCAATTTGCATTTATTACTTAAATTACAGGTATTGTATTTTCAGTTTTTTCCTGTGAAACAAATTTGTTTAAATGTGCTTGTTAATTGTTTATAGGAATCATACATTAATATTACAAAATGAATTTCTTATACTAATAATTACATGTCTCCAGAATATCCTGCATTTTAATAAAATTTTTGCATCAGTCAATCAATCAATTGATCAACTAATCGACCAATCAATCAGTCAGTTTTCTATTGTATTTCCAGTTTCGCCTGATGAATGAGTTCCAGAACCAGATCTGTGTGTTCTGGATCAGGTACTCAGACAGGTTCCTGGAGAGTTTGGTGGAGAGTACCCTCTCCCTGCTGGCCATCAGTTACTCTGCACCTGTGGGAGGGGCAGTGCAGATGACCCCTGTCCACTTCTTGGCCTTACTGGACCCTAAAGCAAGCTGGTTTACCAAGTGGATGGTGAGGAGATAGAGTATACGTAGAATATTTAATTTTTGATATGGCTAAATTGTGGTTATGTACCATAACTTTATGCATCAAAAAGATTCATTATACAGATGTGTGTAAGTGAGTGTGTGAATGTGTAAGAGAAAGAGAGAGAGAGAGAGAGAGAGATTTCACAGTAAATCATTAAGCTACTCAGTATGCACATTAGTTTATATTTATCATCATTATATGGTAGTCAGTTTTAAATGATCTGGAGTATGAGAAACTTTAGAATTTCACATAAAGTCATACATGTTCTGCTGATAGTACATAGAATATATCAAGTTAAAGATCTGAATTCATCTGCCTGCTGTTTATAAACTACATGTTTAACTGTGGCATGTTGTGAAGACAACAGGCAGAAATAGTAAACACCAGTTGTTTTAGGAAGCCTGCATTGGAGTTTGTGCAGACTTTTAAAGGCCAGCTGGGACAAATAATGTACATATTTATATATGTTTAACACAAAATAATGTAAAACAACCAAATGCATAATACTTCATTTTGGCATTAAATCATGATTTTAGCCAAACAGCTTTAAAATACAAAATGGTTATGCTGGAAATGTTTAGCACTTATTTAGTATGTTCATTGCATAGCACAATTTCTTTTTTTTTTTGGTATAATTTAATTATTCAGAAAAATTACAAAACAACTCTAAAATTCTTAATAAAAATCTCTTTTTCAGTAGTCAGTAAAGTTGTATATGCCAGTGTAAGCAGCAATGTGTAATTTAATGTGACAAAAGGAGTTTACATGCCTAGAAGCCAATTTAAGCACTGTGAAGATTTTCAATTTATATTTTTGTGTCGTTGCTTTCCAGCATGGAGGCTTCAGTCGCACACATGTCCTGAGTGGACTGGAAAAACATAGGAAAATTGTAAGTGCTGCAATAGAAAAAACATAGGAAAATTGTAAGTGCTGCAATAGATTCTAAATATTTACATTGTTTAGAGTGATTGTGATTGTTTGTTTTTTTTTTAAGGTTTCATTAATTTATGCATCATTATGCCTGATCATGGTTTCTTGAACAATGATTTGATAGGAAATTGCTTGATATTTTAAAAAGGTTAAGGATCATAAAACTAGAGGCAATGAAAATCTATTTCACACTATGATTTTTTTTGTCTTTTTTATTGATATTGGGAAAACCTTTTCTTTTGTTTTTCTTTGTTGATCTTCAAATTATAATTTTGAAATTTATTTTTTTAGGTGGACATTGCAGTGCGGCAGTGTATGGAGTTTGCTTCAGCCAGAAAAATTCCTCTTGATCTGCTGAGTGATATATCAGATGCTCTGTCTAGAGAGTCCTTCAGTGAGTATCTCATAGTAAGAGTGTCATTTGATCAAGTGATGTAATTATTTAACACAGAAGTTTGTATATGTAGGTTCTCTTCATTGTTTATAAGTATTTGCTTATTATTGTTAGTAATTAAAATTGAACTCAGAATTGTAGCATAAATATCACGTCTCAAACATTTTATCTTGTTAGAAACAGTTAACTATATAGTACTTTTCTCTACCAGTTTATTTGAAGTTCTTTGTTTCATCTTTAATGGGCGCGGGAAGCTTATATTGTACATAACAGAATTATATTATATACATATATGAAAGCACATCCTCTCTATAATCAATATACATATATCTTCCTATCCCCCAGGTGATGCCCAGAGAATGCACTATGTAGGACCAGAACTAGAGTACATTCATTTCATGCATTCCATGCACTTGGTGGGCAAACTACTGCAACATTCCAAGGGAAGGGATTTCTTTCCTGTTCGACTAAAAGACAGAGAAGGTAAGGTCACAGGTGAAGGCCAGCCCTAGAAGTAAGCCAGCAAGACAACAGTTTGAAATGTGATGAAATAGGTTTTTTCATTTTTTTTTTTTACTCACTTGAAAAATGATTTTATACTTATGTAACATGAAGTAAGAATAATATCTTACTTTTCTTATTCATTGGTATTAGGATGATATTATTTCAGACAGTAGGCTAATTTCTACCTTTTGGAACCTGTGAATATTTTTACTGATATTACCCAACTCAACATTAAAATATTTTCAATATAATTGTGGTTAGTTAGTTTGTGTGATGGATAATTGTTCAGATTTAGTGAAAATTTAATGATCAAAGTATAATTATGAAGCTGCATTTTGAATTGTTTTTGCTTAGAATTAATGTCCTGTCACTGTGACTAGTTCTCTCGCTAACTTTTACTTTAACATTCAACATGGGTAAGTAACAAAACCTGCCTGCTTCCCTCTAAATGATGATTATCCTGTTTTCAGAGCCAGTGTCAGTGACTGAGTTGTTGGTGACTATGATTCATCTTATAAGTGATCCTAGCTGTCTCACCTATCACAAGCCCAGTGCAGGTATGTGTACTTAAAAGAACTTATGCCAGGACCTTTCTATAAAATATGCACTTTTGATAATAGATAATCTACTTTTAATAGGATTATTCCTAAAAAGATTGTTAAATTTGTTTAATGATTTGCTGAGAATAATTGTAATAATTTTCTCATAAATTTGATTTTACCTTTTAGCCTTCTAGGTCAGTCAAAAGAATATTCTGTTTTTCTTGTATTAGTAATTGTTCCACCAGTTGTTAATTCTACAGTATATTTTATGTGATATGTTGAAGATAAATTAGTACATTAAGTAGTTTTTGTGTAATTTTGTGTTTGGTCCTCTTGTAGCCTAAAGTTACTGCAAGTATGATGCTTGGATGAGAAGTATGATAAGAGGATGCTTGTCTATAATTGTGTTCTCTACTTCACTCCAATATATATTCCAATATATATTCCGTTATATGTATATTATAATTGGTATTCCAGTGGCCTATGACCCTGGGGTATTGGCTGCAGACATGTTGAAGAAGCTGTGTATCTCAGAGGACATCTGTCAGATCTGTATGTGTAAAGATGACATTATCAATACTCTGTTGACACCCATCACACACTGGCTGGATGACTCCATGGTACGTGGGAAAGCCTGAGAAGTTAGAGGCATACCTTTATACAGCAAATAGTAATAATACTAGTGATTCTCCTGGAAATTTCGGAAGTTTTCTCTTTAATATCAAACTATATCCTATCCAAAAGCCATGAGAATATTATGATGTTTAAACCCTATTCCTAAGTTTTAAATTCCCTTATTCTTACCCTAAGAAATTAAATTTACATTTCCCTTACCAGTTGTGTATATGCCCTTTTACTGATTCAACCAGAGATATGTCATTGGTGAAAATCATAATGGTGGTCCCACGGATTTATTTCAGGAGCATGATATAAACCAAGCGACAGAGGTGACCTACCTGCACATAGCAGACATCTTGGCTGCACTGGCCTCCACCAGTAGAGGGCGCCAGCATCTGCTGTATGGGGAGAGACAGGAGAGGTTTACCAGGTCAAAGTAAGAATTTTGTGATTTTTTTTCTTTTGAAGAAGAAATTGTCAAATGCAGACTTCAGTTTGAAAGAGTAAGAAGACAGTTTGGTGATTGATCTCATTTGTTTTCCAAAGTAACGGAACTTGATGAAGAAGATGTATAATATATTTATTAATATATACTCTATGAATCAATAAGTCCCATACAATTCATTTAACATTTAATTTCAACATTTACCTTTTTCCAGATCCTCAGCAGCTCACATAATTGCAGAATTTGTCAAAAAAGCAATCAATGGAATCCTGCCAAATGACAGTGCTCCTCCTCCGTCCAATAAAGTTATAGGGGCATTCACCTACATCTGCAGGCAGCTGTATAATACATGTGAGGGCCTCTTAGTCATGTATTCTTATGACCTACACATGACAATTGCTGCGGCTCACAGGCAGGTGAGTAACTTATACATGTGTGGACCCCATATACATGTTAATGCACCTATAGACGGGTGAATAAAGTAACTTCTCGTGAACACAGTTAGTTTGTATACTGGCATGGCTGTCAAATTGCAATTAAATGTTTGTATTAAATTATGTTATATTATGATCTGATGTACTAAATTGTATTTTTTTTTTGCTATTTGTAGGCTTGTCTTGCCTCAGAGATGGTTGTCACTCCCACACCCTCTATAAATGGTAGTGATTACACCTGTAGCAAAGAGTCCAGATATTCCTCACATGAGGCGTAGGTTTATTTAATTAATTAATTCATAACTATTTTTTATCATTATATTGCCAAGAATATTAACCAACTTGCAAGAAAGTTAGTGTTGTTTCTGTCACCTTTTAGTTGATATGATATTTTCAAATTGACCCATTAGTCTTAGACTATTTATTTTCTTGTGTACAAGATTGAGCAGCCCCTTACGAGTGCTTGTTAAGAAAAGTATTTCAGTAAATTCTTCAAAAGTTCTTTAAAAGTGTCTAGCATTAAAATGCCATCTGATTATAATTGATGCTATCCCATATATTATGGTTGTTCTCTCTTATATTATTACTGTTATGTTCCCATAGGTTTGTCTGGGAGGACACCTTGAGAGATAACCTGCTGAACTTTGCAGCCACACCCAAGGGTCTCCTGCTGCTACAGCAGACTGGTGCCATAGATGAGTGTGTGGAGTATATGTATGCCAGATATGAGAAGAAGTTACAGGTAGGCTGGAGAGGTTTGAGTCATCCAGGCTTGAGTACAAATTATTTGATGTTAGTTCTACTAATAGAAGTTTATGAAATAGTCAAAAAGTTTTGATATTGTATGACATTTTAAGTTCTTGTAAAAAAAATAAAGATTCAGTGATTGGAATTTTGTAACTGGCTGAACTAGATTTTAGTATTGGCTAGTTTAGATTCCAATAAGATTTGTTAATATACCTGGACCTGAATTTTGACTGTGACATCTGTCATTTTATCAATCTGAAATAATTTTTTAATACCAATTTAGCTGAGCAAATATGAGAAGTTTGGCTATGGTACTATGATGACCCAGGTGGCAGCCACAGCCCCAGGAATGATGGCACTGCAAAATACAGGTATTTATCTTTCAAAGTACAATTAAATTTGATGTAATTATGAAAAGCACAGCCTGTAAAAAGTATACTAGTTGATACTAAAACACCAAAGAAAAAAAAAATCCAATTTACTACACTATTTTCCAGGGTTTATCAAGGCCATGGTGAATGAGCTGTGGAGTGTATTAGAGTGTGGATCAGATGACAGGACTGTGTTCACACCCAAAACCTGGCCTGTAGAACCCATTGACAGGTTTGCACACAAGGTGAGGAGGACAGTTTTATTGGTTATATGTGCAAATGTACTTTTTTTTATTTAGATGTGTCAGCAACACTAAGATTTTCAATCATAATGTGTTTTACTTTATAAATCATTCACAGATTTATGGATTTCTGACTTCTTTTTCTCCATCACTGACAAAAGTGCTTTAATAATTTTTATAAAAATTGTAAAAAAAATAAAAGAAAAAAAAAACATGAAGAGACAGATCATGTGGACTGTTATTTTAGGCATTCGTAATTCTTCAGAATCCTTATTTCTTTTTCCAGTCCCTAATCCGAATGCTTAACATCCTGAGTGCGTTCCCTGCAGTGTATGAGGTGTTATGTGACAAAACTCTTCCAGTGAGAGAGAGCTACAGCCTCAGAGAAATGCCTAATACAATACTGGTGAGACACAGTGATTGAATACCATCTTATTTATCTGTTTGTTTGTTTACTTAATTGCTAATTTACTTTGGTGAGACAGTGACCTAATGCTGTCTTTTTTTAAACAATGATTGATTGTTTAATTAATTAATTAATTTATTTGTTTAAAAAGTTTGTGGTACCGTTGTTATATTTCATCATCAGGAACGTGTGTCATATTTTATAGTGGGAGATGATCTTATGTATAAGGGATTTAATACCATGGCAAATTTCAAGAACAGTGGACACAAATGGAGTGCATTTCGCCTGCATGCATGCCATGTGTGAAGTGTGTTATTCCATACCTGGCATTGGGGACATAAAGCTCAACTTCTGCAGTTACACTGTAGTATAAGTCAACTACACACCACTTGTTGGCCAGGTTCATGTAATATCCACAGACTTATGATGCATCTATGACTCAGTTGGTCTTTGAGTAGCAAAAGCAGATAGAGAAGAGCGGTATCTTTTTGAATGTGTAATATATATTTGTAGCAATTGGTCAGTACATTGGCCAGTATGTTGGTCAGTATATTCTGTCCTTGAAATTTCTTCTCTCTATTCCAGGAAGTACTAGACAGACTAGTTCTGGTGGACACAGATGCAAAGATACACTCTCTCTTCAACTATGAGCAATCACATGTTTTTGGACTCAGGTATACTGCTGTATTTTTGAGCTAAGAAGAGGCTAGAAGGATTGTGATGCATGACTAGAAGAACTGATATTTTGCCAAAAATTAAGCAGAGTTATTGAATTTTCTTCCATATTAAAAAAGTAGACTGCTTTTCCCAGTGCACTAATGAAATGTAATTTGTGCAGTTATGAAAAAAACGTTAGTTGTGTAGCAATTTTACATGATGGCATATTGTAGAATCATATAAAATATTTTAATCAATTTTGATATTTAACTTTAACTGTACAAATTTTAATAACCCTTGAGTATATAATCACCATTTCTGTGGTGCATAGTCCAGTGAGTAATTTATAATATAATGGAACAATTCCAAGAGTGCTTTCCTCATATGCAAGTTTGCTGTTGTAATTAGCAGTTTGAATTTGACATCAAATTTGTGCCTAGTTATACTTAGTCCCTGTTATTCTTCTTCAGGTTACTGAGCTCTATGTTTTCATGTCTTGACACATTTCTGTTGCTGCAAACACAGTACAGAGTACAAGATGTACTGTTAGCCTGCCAAGAGAATAACACAGTGGATGTAGGGTAGGGTAACACTGTTATATTATAACATTGTAATTGATATTTGTTAACATTATAAACACAGTACAGAGTACAAGATGTACTGTTAGCCTGCCAAGAGAATAACACAGTGGATGTAGGGTAGGGTAACACTGTTATATTATAACATTGTAATTGGTATTTGTTAATTGTATAAACACAGTACAGAGTACAAGATGTACTGTTAGCCTGCCAAGAGAATAACACAGTGGATGTAGGGTAGGGTAACACTGTTATATTATAACATTGTAATTGGTGTTTGTTAATAGTATAAACACAATACAATGTTAAAATTTTACCTTTGGCCTGTAAAAAGAATAACGTAGATCCACTAGAGTAGGCTAGAGTAACATTGCCATTGATAGTTGATAGTTATTGGTGTAGAGTTTAGAGTCCAGAAGATTAACACAGTGACACTGGAGTAACAAGATGACATTAAATCAATGTAAAATGCTGTTTTAAGTGTGGTTGGTTGAGGATATCTTATTGTGTATTATACTACAACTATGCCACCTTTCAATTTGGATTAAAGATGAAATTTGTATTAACAAATAATGCACATTGTTGAAGATGTTTAAAGTCACGAGTACATCTTTAAGTCTTAAAATATTATTTCCCTTTTATAGGTTGTACTGTAAAATTATTTTCTTATGTTCCAGTGGAGACATCATTGTTGATATGCTGTCTATAGAAAGAAACTACTTGCTGGTCAAGTCCTATCTTATTGGTGGACCAACAGAAAGAGTCATTCCACCAAAGGTCTTATCAGTAAGTGACAAACACTGGAATAGTGACTTGTATTAAATGGCTTTTAAATGTTTGAAGCAAAATGCATGGTCACCAATACTAACATTATTGAAGATTTTGTAATTTTACTTCTGGTTGTCAATTATTGTACCACCAGCGTTAGTGCTGGCGGTACACATGGTTTTAGTCCCGTCCGGATCGTTCCGCCGGCTCCGCCGGCTCCTGCGGCTCCGCCGGACGGCTACCGTTACCGCTTCTCCTCCTAGACGGGAAGGGCCCCCGTACCCCTCTCTTGGANAAATTATAAATTACTAAGTAAATAAACTTGGAAATTTAAAAACAAGCATTTAAAGCTCTTTAAATCTTCAGTTTTACATTGGATTAAAGTAGATTATCTTTGTCATTCCAGGAACAGACAGTGCATTGAGAGGTTATCACCTCACCCCCTTACAACAACTGGGAGTGAAGATGGCTGTCAGGTGAATTATTGTATATATTGTGACCATCATTTGGTAAATTGTGGTGGTAGTGTACTCATTCTCTTTGACATCAACTAATGGAATCCTTGATCTTACTCTTAAAACATATCATATGATAGGCATAATAGTAATTCAACCCATTTTTTTTATCAATCTTGGAATTAACATAAGCTTTAGTATGAGATTTAATTACAATTCCATCATTATCTGAGTTCACCCTATTATAGTATTATATCATTTTCCTCACTGTCAGGTATGGCATGCACCTGAAGGTCCTGAACTCCAGCCCAGAAGCCACAGAGAATCTCACACAATTACTGAAACAGTGCGGCTACTTCTTGCATCAGCAGCAGAAGTCTGTAGAATCTAATTTACGTATCCTTTCTGTTAGACTGTATATATTTATGTTTTATTTCATACTAGATAATCATGTCTTAATTTTTTCAAGGTGTTTATGAGAAAACATGAAGTGATTTTCAAAAAATTTCTGGAAAATTTTACGTGATGACATTATGTCTCACAGAGGATTACCCTTAGGCTAACATAAAAAAAATTATAATAAATTTTTTCAACATTGAAGAAATAAAATCAAGAAATTGTTTACTGTATCTTTACATATTTTAGAAAGTAATCCACTGCCCTTTAATGGGAAGATTAGTTTTAAGTCAATCCAAGTGATAGTAATCCCTTAACATAATCCCCACAGACCTGCTCCAGGGAGATTATCCAGGCTTTGACTGGTTTGCCTCCACAATCTTCCTTCTCATGAATGGCAACCTAGAGAGGTCCTGGAAGTTTCTGTACCAGTTCTCAACTCTGGTTGCCTCTGGCTACTTGTGGATACCAAGGTTACACTCCTCTGTAAGTAACATCAAGTTTGCCCCCTCCTCCGTCAAGGGAAAGAGTGGCATGAAAAGAAGATCTGAATCATATGCTCCTTATGTTCATTGTCTCTTGTTCTTCGCATCTGTATTGTGGTCCTCCCATAACAACTGTAGCCCGTCTGTCCCATTACATCTACATATTGTACATGTCATCTGTCCCCATTACAGCTGTCTCCCTCCACTCCCATTTTAACAAAATCCCACCAGGTATGTTCCATTATGGCAGAGTTCATCCCATCTTTATGTGATTGCCCAGTATGAGAATTTTAATTAAAAAATTTCATTCTGTGTTTGATAGAAATTTAAACTAGTCTAGATAGATTAAAATTAATACTTTGACTTATTCCAGGTCCATCTTCCTCAGGGTTTGATGAGCAGTGGTATTCCACCTCTCTTCTCCACCACAGGACACAATGTGGAGCTGATCTTACTGGCTGAGGTGCCTGAGGTCTTCTCTGCCTTCAAAATGTCAGGATACACAGTATCTCAGGTAAAAACACTCAGGCAGGTGTGCCAGTTGATGTACACTCTACACAGATGTGTACACTCTAAAATTCGGATAAAATCATAGCAGTACCTATTAGACTGGAACATAAGCCATTATTTGTTTCTTGTTATCAGACATATGCAATATTTCATTTAATTGGGCAACTACTTATCGTAGACAAATAAGATGAAAATAAAGATTTTAAAATTAGCAAACTCTTTATGAAAACTGTCCCAGAAGATCTCATTGGTAGGTTTGCTAGCTGGTCTATAACACTCCAGTCATTATCCTGACAGATTATTTCAGATTTTTCACAAAGATGATGATTTACATTTTCAAATTGTCTAGTAACATAATGATATGACATTTCAGATTGTTCAGCACTGGCTGCGTCAGTGTTTCTGGAATTTCTTGGACTGGCTTGACATCACCCACTATATCTGCCTGTGTACAGTGATGGGAATAGACTACCAGGTGAGACTCTCAGAGAGTGAGGTCAAGGTCACAACTAGTAGATGTCCTCAGAGTAGTTCCATCTGTTACCAATAGCTTATAAATGTCTAAATGAGAGAGAGAGAGAGAGAGAGAGAGAGAAAATGTGTTTGTCTGGAGGCCTTTAATGTACATTTATAAGAGTAACTTGAATGGAGCCATATGAATATAATCTGCTTATTTAAATACAAATATATAGAAAAACATAAATCTGAGGTCTTGATTATTTTAATATTGTATTTAGTCAGTTATGTCACAAATAATATTGAAGGCAGACATGCCTTTCATTAAAAGTAGCAATTATATTACTATTTGATACGGATACCTTAAACATAAACTAAAGCCAGTTTCCTTAACACGTACAATATGAACTTGAAAAGTAACTTTAAGACAAAGTGCAAGAATGTATACCTGTTGTTTCAGGTGTATTTGTGTGTGGCCATATTAAAACATATGAAGCAGGAAATCATGCACCATGTACAGCAACAGGATCTGGTCATTTTTCTCAAGGTCAGTGTCTTAATCTCTTAGCACTGTATCAGATAGTATAATCTTACCTGTTGTCTACACTAAAAAATAAATTATCTAACACTCTTATACCAGTAAGGGTTTCATTTCTGCAGCCTTGTACATTTCAAGTAAGAAGAGAACCTTAAAGGTATAATAACTCTTCGTTTCGTCCAAAAAATGAATTTTCCTGGAGTAAACAACAATTTTCCCATACTTACCAATGGTAAATGAATCCATTTTTACATTCAAAGTTAGTCCCTGGTTTTTTTCTAAAAAGTTTGGTTTTTTGTTAAAATCTCTTAAGAGATTTTAACAGAGTATATCCATCAATGGAGGTCACGTGGTCTAAAGACAAGCTCAGATATCAGAAAAAATAGCTATAACTGCCGTTTTTGTGGTAAAACAGAATATATTACATTTCTATGAGTTATTCACAATGTTTTTATTGTGAAATATAGATCTCATACGAAGAGTTATTATCCCTTTAAGCATTAAAATTGCTATGTATGACTGTCTCCTTTTTGTTCTAGGAGGAACCAATCCAAGGATTTCGTGTTGGAGAGCACCTAGAATTTATGCAACAGCTGGAGAAGAAATTCAGGAAAACCATATTTTTGGACATGCAGAGTATCACAAAGCCTTGAGAAAATAAAGTTACAGAGCGTTGATCACTTGACTGAAAATGGATTTGGCATAAGAATCGAGTTAAAATGAAAACAGAGTTGACTATATTTAAAGTATGATTGGTTTGAGTCTTTAAGTCTTTGGCAG